TACGACTTGGCGTGGCAGTCTCTCCACATGGCGGCTGCTGCTGCCTGCAGAGGGAGCACATCTTCAGGAGGGTCTGGTTGCTGCGCAAACATGGTGATGACCAGGAACACCGCCGAGGGGAAGAATTGTGCTCAGATTTGTGCCCAGACTGCTTACCGCAATTGTGATGCAGAGGTTTCTATCTTCGGGAGGAAAGGAAAGGCCACAAAGAATGGAATGATCGTGGGCGAATTTTACAACTACCGCTGTAACTGGGGTCGCAACGGCGGAAGTGAGGTGTCCAGCGCTGACGATTCTGTAATAAACCACATTGGTTACTTCAGTTTCTGTTGCTGTCGAAAGTAGGATCCACAACAGTTTTGTAACCAGGGTGATTAAAATCATTGTTTCCTTTCTCGGAGAGGCCCTTTTCCCTTGTAATTCGCTGGGAATTACAAGGGAAAAGAGGCCTCTGCTAGCAGGGAAAATAGCAATGTATCGCCATTTATTTGTGGTAAATGATTAAAGCGCAAAATAAAAGCTAATTAACTTGGCAAAACAACTGTGTCTGCTCCCCTCTCCCCAACTCCCCCAATAATCAGGGGCTCCCCACTTCGATTTTCGGAATGTCTGTTCGGAAGACGATTTAAGATCTAGAATTTTCGGAACATTTGTTGTAAAAATTTCTTGCTTGCCTGCCTCTCCTAGGATTTTCGAGCTTTTAAAACATGGTATAATTGCCCTTTTATAACGGATTTTTACCCTTAAAAAGGCCACCTGGAATTTTCCCTATAAGTTTGGAATCACTAGACTTTCAGCTAGGAAATCCAAAAAGATGAAAAATTTTAGGGGATAAAAATATGTCTATATCTACCGTTTAAATCAGCACTAAAATACATTTAACAATGCTATGTTTAAGTGGTTTTGAACTTTATTCTCGTTGGGTGCCCCTGAATAATAATGGGATCAATTTAGGTTTCTGGAAAACTGCCCACCTACCCCTCTCCTAAGCCAACATTTTGCCCTAAACGAGAAATAAGTGTTAAAGGGGCTATGTCACCCGTGGCGCATGCGCTAGCTAGTGAAAACAAACTTGAAAAAGACGGCCCGTCTTTTTCAAGTTCTGTCGGAGATTTCGGAAGGCTTTTTTTAGCTGTTTAAATCTCAGCCATCGTTCTATAGTTAGCGAAGTTTTGAACTAAGAATCGTTCTATGGTGATTACAGAAGAATATTTTTGCATTATTTTGAAATTGTTCGTCCTTGGATTTTTTTTTACGTGGATTTACAATGTCCTCTTACGATTGTCTTACCAGAGGCCGTTGAATTAGCAGAGAATTAACGACGGCTACTCCACGATGAGTGATGGAATCTTAATAAATGGAATCTTCCTTATTGTTCACAGAAACTTTCTGTTGAGTCATTTTAGAGGCTGCTGGCTCTTGAATTTTTTTTTTTGCGTGTGTGTGTTCAAAGTATGTTGACATGAAGCGGCTATCGAAAGTTATCGAGGCGCTTCCAGGCGGATGTTTTTATTAAACGATTACTACAGCGTGGCCATGAGTTTTGAGACGAGACTAATCTTCTGGCGAAGGAAATGTTGTATAGTTCGGCTAGATTCCTTCTTGTATTTATCTTCATTCAGGACAACGATAAAAAACGACCGTTTACTCGTCCAGCTTGTTCACAACGGACATAGATAGCAACGGACCAGCACGAGTTAGATTCTGTGGTGGTCATGTTTATGAACTGTTTGTGTTTGAGCATATTCAGTGGAAAATAGCAGAGTTTATTTTCCCTTGTTATTCACGGACTGCTTACAATGGAGCTGAATACCAATGATACTTGGTTCTGTTTTTCTGGACGTCGCAGTGATTCGGCACGATCGAACAAATTTGCGCAATCAATGTGTGTTTCTCTTCAACACGGAGGCATCAATAAACGGCGTCTCTTGTCCTGTCAGCATGCGATCTAAATTACAAAGATCAGTAGCGAGAGACAAGTCTTATTGTTAGTAAATTGAAACAGTCCTGGTCTTTACCTTTGGTATAAAGTTTTGTGGGTCGTTTCTTAAATAAGACTGATTTATTTTGTTGACTACGACAATATGTTGGTGAATTTTTGTTTGCGCTATATTTTGATGAATGGCACGCGTTTTTACCTCAAAACTACAAGTAAAATTGTCTTACCACTTTTTAATATTCTCGACGAAGAATTTGAGTGAACTCTTTCTAGCATAACCAGAAAGGAAACGTTCCGTTAATTCTATCAAAAGATCAGTTATCCAAACTTGTAAACGTCTCATTAAACATTTCGGAGCTTTGGACGTGACAGGAAGTCAAGCATTAAAAACAATAGAATTTTGACAGTTAAAGGTAATTTGCATAACCTCAACGCGCATGCTCTCCAGCTGACATAGTCCCTTTAATGTTGGCTTATAGGGGAGGGGTAGGTGGGCAGTTTCCCAGAAACCTATATCGATCCTAATGATGCATTTCACAGCGGATTGAATTGGCACCTACAAAACCTTAAACGTGTACTTAGCTTTCTGTTTTTCGCCATGAGTCTTGTAAAATTCTCTTCGATTTGAAAAGGAAGAAATGTCTCAGTTTTACTATTTTTGTGAATCAGAATATCTTGACTTGAGCTTAGAGACTATATTCTAGCCCATATGCATTCACAAGGTCTCTATGAATTACTTAGCTAATATACAGATCAAGAGAAATAGAAAGGGGGAACATTTCAACTCTCTTTTTGCTTGCTCTCACTCTATCATTTTTAAAGCACTCGGTTAAGGCTGTGTCACCATTACACGGTTAGACCTTTTTGGCCAGAGATCCCCTTTAGGAAATACCTCCAGCTTACCCGGACTAATTTCTTGCTTGCAGAGTGAAAAAACGGGGTCGGTGGACAACAAACGACTTTGACCTCGTGCCAAAACGCTGCTTGTTCTGAAGGGTTCTACGTTTTGACTGAGCAAGTGTGATTTTTGCCGCTTGTCTCATACTGAGCTAATAAATTGCCAAAGGGAAGATTACAATGTGTCTGTTACGTAATAGTTGTCCTTGTGAAGATGATTTTGGGGGCATTCTAATTCCTCTGATAAAACCACATTTTCAGCAATGTTGTAAGAAGTATCAAAGGCGTTGACTTCAGTCACGTGATTGCTAAGTGCTTGCGGTTACATTTCTAAAGTGTTAGTATAATAACTCAGGGTCCGCTTGGAAACGAGTTTGGCTAGATGCGTACAGTTGGATCCCGACAGACCATGTGAAATCAGCTTCTGTCCGGCAGTGAATAGTCCGCGAAGAGCGTAACCCTTTTGCTGCAGTGGGTAACGTCGATTACAAAAGAAAATGACAACAAACGGGCCAAGTGCAAGGAAAAAAATAACAAAACCAACTGAAAGGTCCCCACAAACTATCATCAAGTTGTCCAAAATGGCTAGATTATCAGTGAAGGGTACCCGGAAAACCGACATTTCATGGCAACATAAACACAATTCTCTCACGTTACACTCTAATTACGCAGTGAAATCACAGAGGTTACCTGAGTTTGTTTAGCCTCCTGTGGAGGCGTTTTTCGGGGAGCTCGTTTTTCACCCCTCCCTAACAAAACGTAGCCTGCTTTGCAGCCGGCCCACGCACTCGGAAATATATCTCTATACAGAAGGTTTAGCGCGTCTGCGACGCAGGCAACACAAACGCCTCCTCAACCGAAAACAACATTCCTTTCCCATTGTTTTATTTGCGTGGTAAGTGACCAATCAACAGTTTTGACAGGCTAAACACGACTAAAACGTGACCCTAGAGTTAACGTTTTCCTTCTTTTCTTTCCTTCGCTAAGGTTATGCAGTGCATGGAGTATTCTAACATTTGACTAAATCTTACTTTCGCCGTACTGAATGTAACATTTATTAGAGATCAGAAAGCTTTCCCATCTTTTCATGCAGATCGAGTAATTATCAGATTACCCTGCGGTCATGGTCAAGTTTCCAGAATTTGGAGAGTACAATGTGATGCTAAGCGTAGTCTTCGGTTGAGCTGGCGTTTGGTTTTTTTTGGGGGGGGGGATGGGGAGAGAAAGACGAGCTCCCCGAAAAACGCCTGCGTGGGAGACTAGAGTTTGTACAACCTACTTTTGTCGAAACGCCAATCGCCCTCTGATCAATGATTGCGCATTGAAAACTTTCGACGCAAAAAAGTGACAGCAAAGCCTGGTCTACAACAGGACAGCCCAGTAATAAATTGGAACGGTTGTTTTTGAACAAAAGTCAATATATTGACCACACTAAGCTTACTTATTCCCTTGATCTAATGAGATTAGACCTTCATTGCCTTAGAACGCGATAATCGACAAGTTAAGTATCATTTTTTTGTTCCAACAATGTTAACTGACGTTTACCCTACTATGAGAGGTCAAAAGAGGCCTCTGCTAGCAGAGAAACTGACGTTGTAAGCATAGATAACAGACATCAGTTGTTTACTTCGAATCATTTCAGAGATAAGAATATGGGTGCTCCATTGAGAATTTGGACTTCCTCTTTCAAAGTTTGATTCTTTCAGTCCTTACATATCCTAATGAGGTATGGGGGTGCGCTTTTGTAGAACTGATTAGCTCTTTGCTAGGTTTTTTAAGTTAGGTTACTGCTTAAAGCGGTACAGTATCCTAGATATTCTTCGCCAGAGTTATGAAGTTATGGCGAAGGATCTCTTTCACCAACACTGCGTTAAGCGACCTTTTACCTCCCCAGAGAATGAAGGCAGATGAGAACTAGGTCGCATAATTATATTCTACCTAATGTTCGGACAAGTCGTTTTAAAGCAGTTTTTATAAATAGATGTTTTTTTAATAGTAACTAACACCCTATTTGTTTAGTCCTTTTTCTTAGGTATTTTTCGCTTTCCTTTATTCATTTTCTTGCCATGCATGTAAATTGTTACATTTCTGTTTGCGCAATGAATGATTAATAAAAACCTTTAACGTTATTATTATTATTATTATTATTAGATTGATGACGAGGATGAAGGTCGCAGTGTTCAAGCTTGTTTTCATTGTACTAACTCTTGCTTTTGCAACCGCTAAGCATGAAGCGGTAGCCAGCAAAGCCTCTTCGAGTGCAGCAGCTATGAATGTTCTGTCGAAATGCCCACAGAGCAAGTGCTTGGTAAGATAACTTCTCGACTTTTCCATATGTCATCAAACATATTACAAGGTTTAACTGTATTTCACTTTCGGCTTTTAATACCTTCTTTCTTTTTTTAACAGACGGATTCAGTCGCCTGTCTTGCTGGAGCACAGTACAGCAGTACTGAAAGTTCAGGTGAGGAAACTTGAAATATCGGATCACGTTACGCCAGCGAATAAGTCTTTATATCTTCAAAGCCATGTCCCTAGAGGGCACGTGAGGCAGTTTTGTCTCTACACCAGAGGCAATTTTTAAAAAAGACGCGAAAATAATTTTAAAATTGAAGTATTGTTAAACTTTCTTTGGTTGGACCAAAGTAATCACTTTAAAATCACATGAAAAAGAGCGTTTCTACGATACTGGCATGGATTTTTCAACGAAAAAGTGACGTCCTCACTTTTATTAAACTAGTAATTAAACAATTAAAATATTTTCCATACAAATATCCGTTACTTTTGATAATTTACAGATCACACAAAAAAGCTGGAAAATCTAGAGAAAGAGGTGAGTGTACCATATTAATCTAAGTTTCTTAGCAACAGCAAAATGTTTCATTAGATATTCGCTTTGTTGATATAGGTTATTTAGTGACTCGTAAGAAAGAGAATTTTGTCTGGTGTATGAATGGATTGATTCAGACTGACTGATTGATGATTGACTGATTTTGACTGGGGCATCACGACGCATTCATCAAACATGATGGGCTGGTTTCATTCCAAAGATATCAAGCTTGCTTTTCAATCTTAAATTCTTTTTCAGGAAAAGTAAGCTTTTTTGTAACAAAATAAGGTTGCAAACTTCTTGGTTTTCTCCACTTTCTCTGTTATATAAACTTTGATGTCAGGCCGTGAGTATTGAAATCACTTTTTTCTTTTATCAAAGACAGAAAGTGAGTTTGCTTAGAAGCTACAACAGCTACAGAGAAGTGAATTTGTTAAAAAGTTAGTAAGCAGTAATAAGTTAACGTTCCTTTCATTTTCAAGGTTTTGTTTTTCGTTCTTGGAATCTTTTCAGGTCGCTCATCTAAAAGCAGAACTGGCAAAAGCAGGCAGCCTTCTGGCTTCGCTTTGCTTGACAGCAATGGCCGCCTGCGCCACAACCTTCTCGCAGCAGGTTATGATAAGTACTTTGCCTACTACTTGGCGTGGCAGTCTCTCCACATGGCGGCTGCCGCTGCCTGCAGAGGTAGCACTGCTTCAGGAGGATCTGGTTCCTGGGCAAATAGCGTGATGACCAGAAACACCGTTGAGAGGAAGACTTCTGCTCAGATTTGTGCCCAGACTGTTTACCGCAACTGTGACGCAGAGGTTTCAATCTACGGCAAGAAAGGCAAGGCCACAAAGAACGGAATGGTCGTTGACGCGTTTTACAACTACCATTGTAACCATGCAGCCAACGGAGGAAGTGAGGTGTCCAGTTCTGACGAAACTGTCATGAACTACAGTTACCCTTATTTCAGCTTCTGTTGCTGTCGAAAGTAGCATCCACAACAGTTCTATTACCAGGGCGATTAAACTCATCGTAGTAGGAAAGTAGATAATAACCATGTATCGCCATTTATTTCTGGTAATGATTGAAGCGCAAAATAAAAGCTGTAACTTGGGATAAACAACCGTCTCTGCTGTTTTTGTCCACTTGTACTGCATGACCCCCCCCCCCCCCTTCCCCTCGTCCTCAAGGGAGGGGGGATGAATTGGAAGGTAGAAACCTTGAAAGTGAGTACTACGTGTTTAGTCAGACTAGTAAAAATTTCTTGGATTCTTAAAAATAATGGAAATTTATTTGCCATGTTTGTTAATCAAAATGGATCGAACTTATACAGACAAGACTCTTAAGACCCTATGCATTCAAGAATAAACCTTTGTGGTTAATTCGCTCCACGCCTCCTCGACAGATAAAAAGAGGAGGGTGTAGGAGTATTTCAAGCTTTTCTTAATTTTCTCTCTATCATTTTTCCTCATGTTGATCACTTAAAAAAAGTGGTGGCATCACGTGATTGGTGGAATTACGTCGACATCTCAAAAATTCCATGATCTTAAGTGGTAGCCATGAAGCTAGAAAATTGCCATACACCTTTTAAAAGCTATCAAGTCATTAACATTAAGATGACAGTTTTAAAAAATTATCTAGATATGTAATGGTTGGACCCCAAAAACTATTGATTAGGTGAAATTTTCCATTTTAACTGTACAACTAGGGGTACCTTTCGGCAAGTGCCAACGAGGCGAATTCGTTTATCTTTGTGGAATCACATAAAAAAGGTCGCTTCTACGATACTGTTGCATGGATTTTTTAACGAAAAAGTGACGTCCTCACTTTTATTAAACTAGTAATTAAACAATTAAATCATTCTCCAAACAAATTTCCGTTACTTTTGATAATTTACAGATCACACAAAAAAGCTGGAAAATTTAGAGAAAGAGGTGAGGGTACCATATTAATCTGCGTTTCTTAGCAACAGCAAAATGTTTCATTAGATAATCGTTTTGTTGATATGTAGTTTATTTAGTTACGCGTGAGGAAGAGAATTTGTCTGGTGTATGGATGGATTGATTAACTGACTGGTTGTTGATTGATTGATTGATTTTGACTGGGGTATCGCGACGCATTCATCAAACATGACGGGCTGGTATCAATCTTGCTTTCCAAATTGAAATTCTTTTTCAAGCAAAGTAAGCCTTTTTTAACAAAATAAGGTTGCAAACTACTTGGTATTCTCCACTTTCTCTGTCGTATAAACATTGATGTCAGGCTGTGAGTATTAAAATCACTTTCTTTTATCAAAAACAGAAAGTGAGTTTGCTTAGAAGCTACAAAAGCTACAGAGAAGAAACTTTGTTTAAAAGTTAGTAAGCAACAAGTCATCGTTCCTTTAATTTTGTTCTGTTTGTCGTTCTTGGAATCTTTTCAGGTCGCTAATCTAAAAGCAGAGCTGGCAAAAGCTGGTACACCCTCTGGCTTCGCTATGCTTGACAGCAATGGCCGCTTGCCATACAACCTTCTTGAAGCAGGTTTATGATAAATACTCTGCGTACGACTTGGCGTGGCAGTCTCTCCACAAGGCGGCTGCTGCTGCCTGCAGAGGTAGCATAAACGTGCTACAAGACTTGCTTCGTCCCACGCCATATTAAATCCGACGAAGGATTTTTTTGAAAGTCTAAGGTAGCAGTGCTTCAGAAGGATCTGGTTGCTGAGATAACCACGTGATGGCCAGAAACACCGCTGACAAGAAGACTTGTGCTCAAATTTGTGCCCAGACTGCTTACCGCTACCGTGACGCAGAGGTTTCTATATATGGAAAGAAAAGCAAGGCCACAAAGAACGGAAAGATCTTGGGCAGATTTTACAATTGTTCCTGTCACCATGGAGCAAACGGAGAAAGTGAAGTGTCTACTTGTAGCTCTGACGAAACTGTCATAACGGTTATTATTACAGTTTTTGTTGCTGTCGAAAGTAGCATTCACACCAGTTTCGTTACCAGGGCGATTAAAATCATCGCAGTGCACGTGGGGAGGTATAGAATCAGTGTATCGCCATGTACTTCTGGTAATGATTGAAAAACAAAATAAAAGCTTTTTTAAATAATTTTGGGATAAACAACCGCGTCTGGTCTCTTTGCCCACTTGTACATTTTTTAAAATATCCTTCTCCCCACCAAAAATGAAAATTGACTCATCAGCAAAAGCAAGAGAAAAGCAGTGAGCCACTCATCTTTTTAAATTTTTTACCTGGGGACACTTTCTTACGTACAGAAATGATGGTGTTGACCGCTCTACCTTTTAGAGAATTGATACCGCTATCGGCGCGTTAGTCTAAAAAGACTGCTATTATAGCTCTCAATAGACTTTTAGGAGCCTTTTTGACAACTCTTGGGGGTTAGGCGTTTAGCTAAGCCCATAATTGAATTCTGCTACCTCTTCAGCGTGTTGTTATTTATTATTATTATTATTTTGTTTTTCCGACGAGCTACTTTTAGAGAAGTATTCCCGCGGTAATTTGCATAATTTCAGGGCTCCGCCTTTAAAATGAGATCACCTTGGATGTTACCAAAACGAGGAACGCGGAACGGGAATCGAGGAAAGTGCATGAGGAACAGAAAGGAAATCGGGAAACAACACAGAGAATGGGTAACAAAGTTACTGATAGGGCTAAGGTTGGCTCCCGCTTTTCATTTTCCCCGCATTTCCGTGTGCGTTCCCTGTTTTTTATTCCTCGTTTTAGTAGCATCCTAGCCTGCGGACACAGACGTATTTCCGGTCGTCGCTTCTCTCCACCCGGGTGGAGAGACCGGAAACACGTCTGTGTCCGCAGGCTAGTAGCATCCAGGTCACTTGCTGAGTTTCGGAAAGGTTCCTCTCGGCATTTGATAAAGCGATAAATTTAATTTCTGAGTAATCACTTTCCGTTTCTGGACTCAATAGATTATCATCAATTAGATTACTATCAATTAGCTAACTCGCTAGTACAGTAGTACGATGCCTTTTTTGGCAATTCTCTAATTTACCCCAAACGGAAGTTGTCTTTTATTCGATCGTTCAAATCAATATTCGCTGATTTTAATACCGGTTAGTATAATCTCAGTTTAGCCCTTTTTCCAACTTGTGAACTTTTTCAAGCGGCGTTAAAATCGTCGGGTATTGCTTGAAAAGCTTAGAAAATCTTCTCGTCGGTGTTCAACAATCTGGCCAAGAATCCTGTCAGCCATATATTAAAGATATTATTCGACGCTGACAGGAGGTAAAATAAATTTCATACTCAGGGTTACGGTCCCTGGAGTCCCGTTCGGGATTGTCCCGTGGTATTTCAGTGGTGATCGGGTTTTAGAGGCACCCTCGCGCGTGTGATTGAGGTAAATTATAAATCGATATAAACTTAGAGTGGCTTCAAACTGTGTTTTCAAAATTCCAAGAGTTGCGGTTAAACGTGACTAAACTAGCTTCATCAATTGTATTAGTCAGTCATCATAATAAGAGCTAATTTTTTTGTAACAAAAAATCAGAGAAAAATCTAATTCTAGCATTAAAGTGATCAGTCTAAATGCTGAGTATGTGACCTGTTTGTTTAAAAATTGCGCACACAAATGAATAATTATCCACTGCGTGACCCAAGCAAATAATAAATCCGAATGGTTAATTCTGAAAAAAAGTCAACAGAGTAAAGAAAGTTTACTTAATGTTATGTTACGCTGTCAGATAAACACGATTATCGAACAAGTTTCTTTTCTTTGTTTCAAAAGTAAAGAATGACGTTGCAAGGACGGATAATAGAGAGTAGTTCCTGTACAACGCAACATTTCAAACGTAACTTTCAGATAAACGAAGATGAAGGTCGCATCGTTCACGATTGTTTTTATTGCCCTGGCTCTTAATGCCTTCGTTTCCAAGCAAGTCGCTTGGGGCAGCAAAGCCTCCTCGACTTCAGCAGCTATGAGTATTCTGTCGCGCTGCCCCCAAAGCAAGTGCTTGGTAAGACACTAACTTTTCCCGCTAAAGTTGGCTGGCTTGAGTCTTGATGATAAAATCAATTCTTAGTGTATTTAATTACTGAGATATTGCTTTCTCTTTTTAATAAAATTAGACGGATGCAGTTACTTGTCTTGCCGGAGCGCAGTACAGCGACGCCAATAACTCAGGTGTGAAGAGGGAATATGCTGTTAATTAACTATTTTGAACGGAAAAGAAGTCCCTTCAAGCTTCTTATGTTTCAAAAGCAAAACCGGCAATTTTTGAAGATACGAATAAATTAAAACTTTTTTCTGTGTGAAATAAACCAAACGTAAAATCTCGTTTTTTCGGCCTAATTATAAACTTGTCTTATGACTCTAAACTCGCGGCAATTTACTAAATAAACGGCTTCTTATTGAAGGACAGATGTCGCGGATTACTACTTTATTAATTCAAAATCTTATGGGCAATTAATCACTGATTGTATTATTCTTCTAATTGGTATCTAATTGTATATGGCCCGCTTTACCGCCTAATATCCAGCAGGGTCATCTCGTCACAAACCTCGTATTCACTGAGGTCAGGACCATCATGCCATGTGTTACCCGGCCGAACTGACCGGTTCTCAGAATTCGTGTCAGTTAAATATTCGCCGTATATCGATTGTGTGTAATAATGTGTATGCGATTTCTACCATGTTACTACTTTATTATATTTATGTTGTTATATTTATATATTTATATGTATAACTGAATGTTTGTAAGTCTTTGCCTGACCCTACCTGTAATTCAGAGAAATCTGCGAATGGTGGAAATAAACAAATATTATTATTATTATTATTATTATATCTGTTTATTTGACTTTAGATCAGGCAAAAAAAGTGGAAAAACTAGAGAAAGAGGTGAGTTTCTATTTCTAAACGACGCTTAGTTCTAGCAAAAACGCGCAGGAAAAGGAAGGTCTTTCTTTATGACATTTAACATTCTTTACTATACTCTCCTCTACAATACATTCTTTATCGCTGTCACTTGTTTTTTCTCAGATGATCACCAAAGTGAATAAATCAATCAACTAAACGAATGAACGGATAAACGGATGAATTATTGACCATTTCTTCTGCTGATTTATTTTGTTTGGCCTCGTAGTTGACGTTTTTATTAAAGAGCAGTAAGCACCGTGTCCCACTCAAGCTCACTCACCCTAACTGCAGATTTCTGCCTCATTTTCCAATATTAAGCTTAAATGTCAATTTAAAACTCGTTATAAACTGAAAGGAATATTGTCTACGTCCGCTACTCAGCATTAGCTAATAACTAGTCCCTTTTAGATAACGCTACCGATCCATTTACTAAATAGCATTTTAAAAGTTATTCATATGCACCACAGAGTACAAGAATGCTTCCAAAAATTAGTGATTGAGTAATAGTCGTGTTTTTTCAGGAAAAGTAAGCCTTTGTTCCGTAATAAAATAAGGTTGCAAACCACTTACCATTCTCCACGTTCTCTTCTATATCAATTGTGAGCAATAAAATCACCTTTTTCCTACCAAAGAGGGAAAGTGAGTTTGTTTAGAAGTAGAAAGCAAGAAGTCAACGATCCTTTTATTTTCTTCCGTTTTTTGTTCTTGGAATCCTTTTCAGGTCGTTAATCTGAAAGCAGAGCTGGCAAAAGCAGGTAAACCTTCTGGCTTCGCCACGCTCGACACCAATGGCCGCCTACCCCACAACCTTCTTGACGCAGGTTATGAAGGTACTCTGAGTACTCTGCATACGACTTGGCGTGGCAGTCTCTCCACATGGCGGCTGGTGCTGCCTGCAGAGGTAGCACATCTTCAGGGGGAACTGGTTGCTGTCCGAACCAAGTGATGACCAGAAACAGAGCTGACAAGAAGACTTGTGCTCAGATTTGTGCCCAGACTGCTTACCGCAACTGTGACGCAGAGGTTTCAATCTACGGGAAGAAAGGCAAGGCCACAAAGAATGGAATGATCGTGGGCTCATTTCACAACTACAGCTGTAACCATGGAACCTGGGGAGGAAATGAGGTGTCTAGTTCTGACAAAACTGTCATGAACTACAGTTACCATTATTTCAGCTTCTGTTGCTGTCGAAAGTAGCTTCCAAAACAGTTTTGTTACCAGTGAGGGCGATTAAAATCATTGTAGTAGGGAAGTAGAGAATAACTATGTATCGCCATTTATTTCTGGTAATTATTGAAGCGCAAAATAAAAGCTGTACCTTGGGATATACAACCGCCTCTGCTTTATTTGTCGTACTGCATTAAACCCCACCCCCGTTCTCAAGGGAGAGGGCGATGAATTGGAAGGTAGAAACCTTGAAAGCAGCGAGCACTATGTGATTAGTCAGGCTACTAAAAATTTCTTGGATTCTTAAAAAAAAATTACCATGTTTGTTAATCAAAATATCTTGGCTAGAGCTTATACAGACAAGATTCTTAATACCCTATGTATTCGCGAATAAACCTCTGTCATTCGCTCGACGCCTCCTCGACAGACAAAAAGAAGAGGGGGTAGGAGTATTTCAAGCCTTTCTTAGTTCTCCTTCTCTAATTTCCAAAGCACTCGTCTAAGGCTATGACTACAATACACGGGAAAGCTCTTGCCCCGGCGCGAAAACCATACCGGATAAGGCTTTTGTTAACACACGAGAACGGTGATACTAGAGCGGTCGATCTTGACTGGGGTGCTGAAAATGGATCGTCACATAGGTTTTCATACTCGGCCTGGATATTTTTCATGTTGACACGTCATTTTTAGCCTAAAGCAATTTGCAGGGGTAATGGTGTGTTCATGTTGATCACGTGAAAAAAATGGTGGCATCACATGATTGGTGGAATTAAGTCGTCATCTCGAAAATTCCATGATCTTAAGTCGGTAGCCGTGAAGCTAGAAAATTGCCAAACATCTTTCAAAAGCGATCAAGTCATCAACAGTAAGATGACAGTTTTAAAAAATGATCTCGATATGTAATGGTTGGGCACCAAAAATGATTAGTTTGGTTAAATCCTCCATTTTAAATGTACAATATGAAGGAAAAGCAACTTTCAATGTTAGTAGTTCTTCCCTAAAAGCTGGCTTATCCAAAAACAATGGATACTTCGAAAACTTAAAAAAAGTAGGCCTTAACAACAAGGACACTGATACATATAATATCTAAAGTCACGAAGTAAAATGAATATTGATCAGCACATGCTTTTCAATTAAGGGCGTTAGGTTTGCCCCAATTCATTCTTCATTCATTTCAATAACGTTTTTCGGTAGAGCTTTCTCTGGTGAATTACCCCTGCCAGAAATAGTTGGCAAATTTGCAGAGATAAATTATTTCAAGGATCAACGTCATTGACATTAGCTCTAAAAATAGGTCTTCGTTACAGAATAGGTGCGGTTACACTAAACCTTTTTCCTGGATATTCCCTTGGGAGAACATCTAGGGCTCACTCTGGATTTTGATCTCATTTCATGCTTGCAGTAAAACTGCCAAGGGGAAGAATATCATCACCCCATTACGTGGTAAACGTCCCTGTAAACAAGCATTGTTGTCAAAAGTTATTAAAGGCGTCGACTTCAGTCACGTGATTTCTAAGTGTTGGCGCGTCTACCTTTCCATGCCTCCTGATTGGCTGAGCCGCTTTAGACATGTAAATCCCCAGGGGTTACCACTAAGGGTAAGATAAGCAGTCATAAGGCAAGAAAACTGCGAGGGGACTCCTGCACATCCTCCCTTGCAACTGTATTCGACATAATCAAGGTTTTTCATTAAACCTTCAAATGTGTCCTACGTTATTCCTCTTTGACAAAATTTTAGGCCCATTTTACGGCCTATAATTTACAGTAAAGGTTAAGCCCTTTCAGTGGACTGTATAAATATCACATTGGGTAGCGCGCCTAATTCTTTCATGTTTTTGTCGTTTTAGGAAAGCGGCGGTAAGTACATCCATTTGAACTTGACTACTACAGCGCAGGAAAGATAAGCGCGCGCAAGACACATGACGTCACAATGGGCTTGATCATTTGAGAACGCAACGTTTTCATGCCTTTCTTCAGTTGGTACAGAGAACAACTAAAGACTTAATGACAGCATCCGAACACACAAAGACACCTAACCATATTGTTAAGAAGCATGTTACATGTGGAAATCACGGTAACATGGCCGCATTTAATTGGGCGGTTTAATGTTTCGAAAAATCCGATGAGGATTGATTCCTTAGCGTGCCAACGCCAAGTGGGAGACGGCAGAAATGTGGCGGATATAGTTTTTTCTTTTTTATAAGAAGATCTGCTTTCAGTAAATATCTGAGACATTTATATCTGATGTAACGAATCCATCCGGAGTATCAATTACTTAGATTCACCGTGCGTTCTCCAAATTTCTTAAAACGACGAAAAATTCGTTTTCAACTCACTAAGACGCCGGATTTTGATTCACAAACATGCAAACACATCCTCACCACAATACATGACCTACAAGCCTTTTTTAAAAATGTACCAACCAGCTACTGACATGGTACCGACACGTTATCGACTGGCAACCTGCAAGCTACCGATAACTCACCGGCAAGTAAAAGACAGAGCACAAAATTGTTCCTTTCATTTTCAGTCGATAGTCAGCCTGGCTATGGATTCAGAACGCCACTTCCCAGAGTACACGGCGAGGAAATGGAGTGTTATGAGCAGCATGTGTATTCCTACGAAACCTCTTTTTATTACATAAAAAGCAAACTAACAGGCCATTACGTGACGTTAAAGGGATACAGGTGGGAAGAGATGGACAAAGTTCAACAAGAGCAATTCTTAAATGAAGTCTCTGTGCTATGGTAAAATTCAGCCTAATTCAGTCTCGTTACACACATCGCCGTGGAGATCACAGACGGCACTTACGAACATATCTTACTTCGTGACCTCTTTATAATCACTACAAATAGTATCAGTATTTATAATGGTTTGGTATTGGCTTCGCTGGGTTTCATAGTACAACTGTTACTCTCTCTGAAAAATCATAGCAGGTACTACAGTCGTTGTCTGGCTGCGCGCAAATTAGTAGGGATAACCGTTACGCGCGAGGCGCGAGATGGATTTATTGTTCTGAACCCCCGCATAGCACTCGGCTAATTAAAAGGCTCCCTCCTTCGATCATTCCTTTGTTGCTATCCAAGCAATCGTTATGTACAGAACCTTTCTTTTCAGGAAAATCAATCTCAACAGATTTATTATAATGTCCGGAGGACTGGAAGGACGCATCTTTCTTTCTTTTCAGCGACTTGCGCATCTAAGTATCCTCCTTCTTATGGCCGTATACTAGTACTGATCCTTTAAAACGGGGACTAGTGCTAGAGCCCGTGTAACGTGGCTTAAGAAAGCTCCTTCTTGAAGACAAGACTGTCTTTGATGAGGACACTGTTCTGCGTTTCAGCCGAGACGTAGCATGCGCAATGCAGTTTGTTCATCAGCGAGGTTATCATCACTGCAATCTGGGATCACCTAGTGTGGTATTAACTGAGAACTTTTCAGCAAAGGCTCGTTTTCTAGATTGCTCATTATCCGCGGGTTAAGCCATCGCTTCTGCAAATAACTTCGGACTGGATATGTGACCCCTTGGAGTTCAAGTCCTTGAAATTTGTCACTCGCCTGCCCTCGAACGTCGCTGGGCGAGACATCTTTTCTTACATTTCTTCTTTCTTGGCGAATCATTTACATGTAAAAGAAAACGTTGGCTCGGATAGGGCCAGCTTAAGCAGCCGGGTCACCCTTTTTCGATAGTAGGGTCACCTTACTAGGCGGTCCAACTTTTCTTCACATAAACTTTTTGGCTCACCCAGCCAGGTCAACTCGGTGAAGGCAAGACAACCAGAGCGTGCGCGAGCCCTTTTGGCACGGGAAAGTGGTCATTTTTTTTCTCATATGGGCACTCGCTTACGTTTACTCGGCTGACCCTTGACCCTTGACCCTCTTTCTCGAAACAAGTTTTCTCCATATAAATAACTATATAGCTATAACTTAGCTATATTTTCTGGTCATTTATTAACTACATGACTGCAATAATTTTAAGGCGGTTTTTTTAGTATAAACTGTTTCTCTAGAAGGCTATTTCTTTTGAATTACACGTAAAAAACCACAGCTTCAACTTAAATCTTACCAGATTTGCAACTTTGAATTTGCACAACAAGTAGGTTATGATCAGAGTAGAAGTAACAAAAATGTTCATTAAAAAATAATAGATAAATCATGAACAAAAGTGCCGTGTTTAGGTTGAAGTTATCCTTTCCAAACGTTTCGAGCCTGATCCTTCATCAGTGGAATTACCAGTTCGTTGAAATCGTTGCAAGGTTTATATACGCCATAAATAAGAAATAAAAATTAAAGGCTTTGTAGTGCACGCGCGGCTCTGCGCGCGGCCTAGAGGAAACGGAGTTCCTCAAGGCGCAATCCTATCACCATTGTTGTTCTGCATTTATGTCAACGATTTACCCACGGCACCGACTTTTTGCAACCTAGAATCGTATGTGGATGACTCAAAGCTATTCATGTCATTTCCTCTCGTTGAGCTTGATGCTGCCATTGAAAAGCTCGAACAAGACCTTCACAGTGTAGCTCAATGGTGCTGTGAGAACCATCTACATATCAATCCCGATAAAACTAAACTCCTTTTCCTCGGTACCAGACAGATGTTAAGCAGGTTACCAGAAGACACTAGAGTGGTATTCTTAGGTAAAACACTGAAGCCAACAGACTCTGCCAAGGACTTGGGAGTCTTTCTTGACCCCCATCTGACCTACGATCACCATATTTCATGTGTAGTGTCATCTTGTTTCGCAAAGCTTTGCCAAATAAATAGAGTCAAAAGGAGCTTCGAAATGGAAACACTAGAGTTGTTAATAACGTCATTAGTCTTTAGTAAGATGCTTTGCTGCTCATCTGTATGGTCAAATACTACACTCCAGAATATAAACAGACTACAATCTATTCAGAATTTTGCCAGCAAGATCGTAACAAACTCTAGGAAGTTTGACCACGTAACACCTTTGCTTCGAGAGCTAAACTGGCTTCCTGTTAAAGAACAATTATTCTATAGAGACTCCGTTTTGACCTTTAAATGTCAGAACGATCTTGCGCCTCAATATTTAAAGAGCAAGTTTACCAAGCGCTCAAATATACGTACTCGTAACACTCGTACACGGAACTCTTTGCAGATTCCGCTATACAGAACGGCTATAGGCCAGCGCACATTTTCCTACAGAGGGGCCTACACTTGGAATAACTTGCATAATGAACTTAGGCAAAGTGTCTCATTGGCATCTTTCAAGCGCGCCCTGAAAGACACACTATTGAGGCAGACATTTCCTTCATAAGCTCTAGAATTTAGTAGAATACCATCATAAATTGTGATTTCGAGTTTTTATTGTCATTTTTGCTTTTATAAATTGTAAATAGTTTGTAAATAGTTCCTGAAAAACCTCACGAGGATGTTACTATTAAAGTCATTATTAATTATTATTATAACGGAAGTCGGAGTTTAAACCGCGCGGCTGACTGGTGCCAAGTTGAATCTCAGTCGCATTTCCAGGCGCTTCCGTTGCGCGTTATCTACAGAGAGCATCATTCCTAGAACCAAAGCGTCGTCGATTGAGTGACCAGCCGTGTTAAAATGTTCAGCCACAGGAAACCCCGGCAAGTTCTTTTCAATGCTCCGAAGGTGTTCGCCAAAAGGTTGTCTTAAAGTACGCCCTGTTTCGCCGATATAGACGGCAGGCCAACGGCGACAGGAGATGCAGCAGACCAAGCCAGACGTTTGGCAAGAGAACGCCTTCTTGATGACAAAAGAGTATTGAGGGCCACGGACACTAGTGTCGCTAGAAATGAAATGGTAAGTGCGGCAGAGTAGTCTGCGTACGACATGGCATGGCAGTCTCTCCACATGCGGCTGCTGCTGCCTGCAGGGGTAGCACTGCTTCAGGAGGAACTGGTTGCTGTGACAACCAAGTGATGACAAGAAACACCGCTGACAGGAAGAGTTAGGCTCAGATTTGTGCCCAGATTACTTTCCGCAACTGTACCGCAAAGGTTTCTATATATGGAAAAAAAGGCAAGGCTACAAAGAACGGAATGATTGTGGGCGCGTTTTACAATTACGCCTTTAACCATGGAGCCAACGCAGGCAGTGAGGTGTCCCGTTCTGACTAAACTGTCATGAACCTACAGTTATCCTTATTTCAGCTTCTGTTGCTGTCGAAAGTAGCATCTGCAACGTTTTTTGTTACAGGGCGATTAAATCATTGTAGTGGGGAAACATAGAAAAACAATCTATCACCGTTTACTTCTGGTAATGATTAAAAGACAAAATAAAAGGTTTCACTTGGGAAAAACAGCCGCGTCTGCTTTCTTTGCCCACTTCTACCATATTTAAATAACCCCCCTCCCACCCACCCACCCACTAGTCATAACAAGAGAACATCAAGATAATCCGTATAAGACTCTTTTTGTTGAAAGTACCTTTTCCAGAGAGCAGTTTAACAAGCTACTCTTTTATAATTTACCCCAAGGACTGACTTTCTTACAAAAATGAAGTGGTTTTTCGCCCCACCATTTAGGGGACTCGTACCGCTTCGTTCGCGTTGGCCTCAAAAGACCGCCATTAGAGCTCACGGAGGATATTCAAGGGGCATTTTTATACCTCTTGGGGGTTACGGGTTCAGCCGCGCCCAAAATGTGAGTAATTCTGCTACCTTTCACATTTGAGGGTGTTTGTAAACTTTTCCGACGAGCTTCCCCGCTACTATTGTATTCCCTGGGTAATTTTTATTCTTTTCACTGCTCTGCCTTATCAATGCAAATTGTATTATTTATTGAGTTATATAATCTCGGAGATTACGAGGAAGGAGGCCACCGGGGATAGGGAACGGGAAGCGAGCACGGGTGGTGGAAAAAAGAAAAAAATGGAACAACACAGGGAATGGGTAATGAATTTCGGTTTGGTTCTCATTTTTCATTTTCTCGTTTCCCGTTCCTAGTTATTAGTAACATCCAGGTCAGAAGGGTGTGACGAGTGCCAAAGCGTTGCTGTCTTTGTTTTTAAGATTAGTGTTACGTGATGTGGCGATGTGAATATTTAAGTAGGCTATATAAGTTACGTCTTGATTTATTAAAGTGAGAATATTTCCCTCACGTAGCGGTCTCTCACAAGTGTTTTAAAGGGTTGTTCTCGACATTTGATAAAGCGAGCAATTTAAAGTCCTTAAAATGTTTCAACATCTCTGTATCCCTTTGTAATAACTTCTCCTTTCTTGAAAGGAAATTTCCTGAAGCCTGTTGACTCGACACATTAGCATCAATTAGTTAACTAGCTATTTAAGCAGAGCAGTACAATGCGTTTTTTTTTTTTTTTTGGCACTTCTCAAAGTTCCCCCAAAGCAAGTTGTCTTCAAGTCGATCGTTGAAATCAATTTTCTGTGAGTTTAATCCTCACTAATATCGTCACGGTCAAGCCATTTTCCGTACCTGTATCCTTTGTCGCCTATTTCCGGGTCGTCTGTGAATTAAGATCTTCGATACTGTTTTGAAAGCTCAGTCGGAAATCTTCGCGTCGTAGCTACGTCGTTGTCAAGATTTCAAGTAATGAACACAGTCTGTCAACCATTCGGAAGATAGCACTCGACGAAGAGGTAAAATATTCCTAGTTCAAAATCAGGGGCAGGTTTGGGATTGTCCTGGGTTGTCTAATGGATGGCTAGGTTTTTTTAAGGCACCAGTACCGGCAGTGCACATGATTGAGGAAAGAAAACTTATGAAGTTGTGTTTTCAAAATTTCAAGAGTTGCGATCAAACGTGTCGATTAAACTAACTACATGTACATCAACTGTGTTAAGTTATTCATCATAATAAAAGCCATTTTTCTTAAAGGAGAAATAACATAAATTCTTTGTTAACATTGAAGTGATTATTCTTAATGTTGAATAAGTATTTGTCGTGTTTTAGTTTTTTCAGAACTGCGTACAAATAATTATCCGATAGGTGACAGTGAATAAAGAAAATTAATTAGAATGGCTATTTGTGAAAAAAAATCTAAATAGACTCAATAAATTTACTTTTTTCTTTTGTCTAATATGATCGTGACCTTCGCTTTCACATTCAGCCCTCCAGTAGTAGAACACGATTATCGGACAAGTTTCTTTCCTTTGTTTTAAAAGTAAAGAATGACGTTGCCGGTACGGATAACAGACAATAGTTCCTTACAACGCAGCATTTCAAACTGTTTCGAGCGAAGATGAAGGTCGCATCGTTTAAGATTGTTTTCATTATCCTGGCTCTTAATGCCTTCCCATCCAAGCAAGTCGCTTTGGGCAGAAAAGTCTCTTCGACATCCGAAGCAATGAGTATTCTGTCGCGCTGCCCCCAAAGCAAGTGTTTGGTAACTGTCTCCGCCGCTAAAGAATGCCGGCTTGAGCCTTGAAGTTACAGTACTGCATTTTAACCTTAACTAAGTCCTTCACCTGTCAAAAATTACTGAGATATTGCTTTCTCTTTGTAAAATAGACGGATGCAGTTTCCTGTCTTGCCGGAGCGCAGTACAGCGATACACATAATTCAGGTCAGTGAAGTTCAAGAGGGAATAAGATATTTAGAACGGAGAAAAAGTGATGGCCCCTCGCTGAGGGTAGTTGTGTTTCAACAACAAACGCATTTTGTTTTTTTTCTCATCAAACCAATACTGAAATTAACTTTGATCATTCTCAAATTAACTTAACGCACAATTTAATTATTTGGGCTTAATTGCTGTCTACAAATAACTATTAAAAGTCGAGAAAGCAACTTTACTGTAAAGACAGATGTCGCGGATCACTTGTCATAAATTCAAAATCTTGTAGACCAGAAATTAGCCACGTATTACTAAAAATATATATTATTTTTTCACGCTTATCTGTTTCTTTTGTTGTAGGTCAGGCAAAAAAAGTGGAAAAACTAGAGAAAGAGGTGAGCTTCTATTTTCAAATTATCGACGCTTAATTCTGGAATTGGCGCATAATTAAAAAAAAATCAAGAAAGAGAAAGAGCTTTTTTCATGCCATTTAATATTCTTTACTGTACTCTCCGTTCGATCCTTTACAAAAGATTCTTTGCAGTTTGTTTTTCCTCAGATGTTTTCTGCAAAATTGTTGATTCAACATACAGTGAATAAACAGAGAAATGGTTAATTACCACTTTTTTGGGCTGATTTATTTTGTTTGGCCTCGTAGTTGAGGTTTATATTAAAGAGCAATAAACACCAAGTCCCGCTAATCCTAATTGGAGATTTCTACCTCATTTTGCTATATAAAGCCTAAATTTCAACTAAAAACTCTTAATAAACTTAATTAAGTCTACGTCCCCTACTCAGCATTAGCTACTAGCTAGTCCCTTTTAGATAAAGTTACCGATCTATTTACTTTGCTTTTTAAAGTTATTCATGTGCATCATGAAGTATAAGAATACTTTCAAAACTAGTGATTGATTCATCATATTTTTTCAGGAAAAATAAGCCGTTGTTTTTTACCAAAGTAAGGTTACAAACCACTTGGCATTCTCCACTTTCCCTTTTATAGAAAGTGTGGGCAATAAAATCACTTTTCCTGCTATCAAAGAGAGAAAGTGAGTTTGTTTAGAAGCAAGTAAGCAACAAGTCAACGCGTTCCTTTCATTTTGTTCTGTTTTTCGTTCTTGGAATCCTTTTCAGGTCGCCAACTTAAAAGCAGAACTCGCAAAAGCGGGCAAACCTTCTGGCTTCGCTAAGCTCGACAGCAATGGCCGTCTGCCCCACAACCTTCTTGAAGCAGGTTATGATAAATACTCTGCGTACGACTTGGCGTGGCAGTCTCTCCACATGGCGGCTGCTGCTGCCTGCAGAGGGAGCACATCCTCAGGAGGGACTGGTTGCTGTGACAACAAGGTGATGACCAGAAACACCGCTGAGAGGAAGACTTGTGCTCAGATTTGTGCCCAGACTGCTTACCGCAACTGTGACGCAGAGGTTTCTATATATGGAAAGAAAGGCAAGGCCACAAAGAACGGAATGGTCGTTGGCGCGTTTTACAACTACCATTGTAACCGTGCATCCAACGGAGGCAGTGAGGTGTCTAGTTCTGACGAAACTGTCATGAACTACAGTTATCCTTATTTCAGCTTCTGTTGCTGTCGAAAGTAGTATCCACAACAGTTTTGTTACCAGGGCGATTAAACTCATCGTAGTAGGGAAGTAAATAATAACTATGTATCGCCATTTATTTCTGGTAATGATTGAAGCGCAAAATAAAAGCTGTAACTTGGGATATACAACCGTCTCTGCTTTATTTGTCCACTTGTACTACATCAACCCCCCACCCCTGTCCCCAAGGGAGAGGGAGATGAATTGGAAGCGGAGAAACCTTGAAAGTGAGCTCTACGTGTTTAGTCAGGCTACTAAAAATTTCTTGAATTCTTAAAAAAATGGAAAGTTATTTACCATATTTGTTAATCAAAATATCTTGGCTAGAGCTTATACAGACTAGGTTATTAAGACCCTATGCATTCTTGAATAAACCTCTGTGATTCGCTCGAGGCCTCCTCGACAGATAAAAAGCGAAGGTGTGGGAGTATTTCAAGCCACTCTTAGTTCTCTCTCTATCATTTCCAAAGCACTCGTCTTAGGCTAGGACTACACCATATTGCATCGAGACTACACTATATTGCATGGACAGCTCTTGCGCCGGTGCGAAAAGCATACCGGATGGAGCTCTTATTAACACACAAAAACGGTGATTTTGTAGCGGTTTCTGTAACGGGGCGAAGCTGTGCCGCGCCGATCTTGACCGGGGTGCTGAAAGTGGATCGTCACATAGGTTTTCATACTTGGCCTGGATATTTTTCATGTTGACACGTCATTTTTAGCGTAAATCAATTTGCAGGGGTAATGTTGTGTTCATGTTGATCACGTGAAAAAAGTGGTGGCTTCACACGATTGGTGGAATTATGTTGTCATCTCGACAATTCCATGATCTCAAGTCAACAGTAAGATAACAGCGGTTTTAAAAAATGATCTAGATATGTAATGGTTGGGCCCCAAAAACCATTGATCAGGTGAAATCCTCTTTTTTAAATGTACAACATTACAAGAAGGAAAAGTAGCTTTCAACGTTAGTAGTTCTTCCTTAAAAGCTTGCTTATCCAAAAACAAGGAATATTATGAAAACTTACAAAAGTAGGTCTTAACAATAAGTGCAGTGATATATTTAATAGCTAAAGCCACGAAATAAAATGAATATTGATCAGCACATGCTTTTCAACAAAGAACGTCACGTTTCCGCGAAATCATTCTTCATTCGATTTATTTTAATAAAGTCTTTCGGTAGAACTTTTTCGGATGAATTACCCCTAACAGAAATAGTTGGTAAATTTTCGGAGATAAATTATTTCAACGATCAACGTCATTGACATTAGCTTTGAAAAGAGCGAAAAGCATACCGGATGGAGCTCTTATTAACACACAAGAACGGTGATTTTGTAGCGGTTTCTGTAACGAAGCGAAGCTGCGCCGCGCCGATCTTGACCGGGGTGCTGAAAGTGGATCGTCACATAGGTTTTCATACTTGGCCTGGATATTTTTCATGTCGACATGTCATTTTTAGCGTAAAGCAATTTGCAGGGGTAATGTTGTGTTCATGTTGATCGCGTGAAAAAAGTGGTGGCTTCACATGATTGGTGGAATTACGTCGTCATCTCGAAAATTCCATAATCTTAAGTCGGTAGCCATGAAGCTAGAAAATTGCCAAACATCTTTCAAAAGCGATCAAGTCATCAACAGTTAACAGTTAAAAATGACCTGGATATGTAATGGTTGGGCCCCCAAAACCATTCATTAAGTGAAATCCTCCAATTTAAATGTACAATAAGGAGGAAAAGCAACTTTCAACGGTTATGCTACTACGTGAGAAATTTCTGCAAGATGATTGGCTTAGAGCAGTGGTATTTCAGCTTAATTTGAAATACCTACATGTGAAAATTACAAAACTGTTGAGGGTAGTAGTATAAACAAATAATAGCATGATTTGTACGTGATATTTGGCATAAATACCACTCATGATATTTCAAAATTGTCTCAAATTTCGAAATATCACTCGTGGTATTTATGCCAAATATCACCACAAATCATGCTATTACCTATACTAATATTTCTTCCTTAAAAGCTTGCTTATCCAAAAACAAGGGATACTATGAAAACTTACAAAAGTGGGTTAACAACAAGTGCAGTGATATATTACTGCGCTTTTCACAAACATGCGAACTCTAAAGTTCAAAAGCCGCCTTCACAATTGCGTTTTTCGCTGCCGTCAATCATAATTACGATTACAAGCAACGAACCTTGAAACACGGAAACACCAAAACGGATCGAAATCCACCAATCACCAATCACAAACCTTGTCCTTTTGAACTCGTTAAAGTGAAGTTTTGTTTTCTAAGAGGTTCGTTAAGATGATTGACGGCAGCGAAAACCGCAATCGTCAGTTGGCTTTTGAACTTCAGAATTCGCACGTTTGTGAAAATCGCAATAAAATAGCTAAATGAATATTGATAACATGCTTTTCAACTGCGGACGTTCGCGCGAAATCGGTCTTCATTCATTTCAATAACGTTTCTATGTAGAACTTTCGCTGATGAATTACCCCTACCAGAAATAATTTGCGGAGATAAATCATTTCAAGGATTAACGTCATTGACATTAGCTTTAAAAATAGGTCTTCGTTACAGAATGGGTGTGGTTACACTAAACCTTTTTCCTGGATATTCCCTTGGGAGAACATCTGGGGCTCACTCTGGATTTTGATCTCATTTCATGCTTGCAGTAAAACTGCCAAGGGGAAGAATATCATCACCCCATTACGTGGTAAACGTCCCTGTAAACATGAAAGGCTGACATAAATCGTACAGTTTTGGGTCATTCTTATTTTTTTGATAAAACCACCATTTCCAGCATTGTTGTCAAAAGTTATTAAAGGCGACGACTTCAGTCACGTGATTTCTAAGTGTTGGCTCGTTTACATTTCAATGCCTCCTAATTGGCTGAGCCGCTTTGGACATATAAATCCCCAGGGGTTACCTCTAAGAGTAAGCTAAGCAGTCATAGGGCAAGAATCCTGCGAGGGGACTCCTACACATCCTCCCTTGTAACTGCATTCGGCACAATCAAGGATTTTCATTAAACTTTCAATTGTGTCCTACGTTATACCTCTTTGACGAAATTTTAGGCCCATTTCACGGCCTATATTTTACAGTAAAGGTTAAGCCCTTTCAGTGGACTGTATAAATGTCACATTGGGTAGCCCGCCTAATTCTTTCATATTTTTGTCGATTTAGGAAACCGGCGGTAAGTACATCCATTTGAACTTGACTACCAGAGCGCAGGAAAGATAAGCGCGCGCAAGACAAATAACGTCACAATGGACTTGATTATTTCTCATCGCAACGTTGTTTCATGCCTTACTTCGGTTGGTACAGAAAAAGAGAGCAACGAAAGACTTTATGACAGCATCCGAACACAAAAAGACACCTAACCATTTTGGTAAGAAGCATTTTACATGCAGAAGTCACGGTGACATGGATGCATTTAATTGGGCGGTTTACGATTAGACTCTTAATTGCATCTTAGTTGCTTTAAATTGGATCTGTTTCGAAAAATCAGCTAATGGATGAATTCCTTAGCGCGCCAACGTCAGGTGTGAGACGGCAGAGATGGGGCGGATATCGGTTTTTTCCCCCTTTTTTTATAAGAAGATCCGCTTTCAGTAGATATCTTAGACATTTCTATCTGATGTAATGAATCCATCCGGAGTATCAATTCCTTAGATACACCGTGCATTCTCCACTTACTAAAATGGTACCGACACGTTATCGACTGGCAACCGGCAAGCTACCGATAACTTACCGACAAGTAAACGACAAGAACACCAAATTTTTCGTTTCATTTTCAGGCAATAGTCAGCCTGGCTATGGCTTTAGAGCGCCAGTTTCCCGGGTGCACAGCGAGGAAATGGAGTGTTATGAGCAGCATGTGTATTACCACGAAACCTTTTTTTATTACATAAAAGGCAAACTAAGAGGCCATTATGTGACGTTGAAGAGATACAGGTGGGAAGAGATGGACGAAGTTCAACAAGAGCAGTTCTCAAATGAAGTCTCTCTGCTAAGGTAAAATTCAGCCTGATTTAGTATCGCTACGCACATCGCCGCGGAGATCACAGACGGCACTTACGAACATATCTTACTTCGTGACCTCTTTATAATCACTATTAATAGTATCAGTATTCATAATAGCTTGGTATTGGCTTCACTGGGTTTCACAGTACACTTGTTACTCACTCCGAAAAATCATAGCATGTACAACAGTCGTTGTCTAGCTGCGCGCAAATTAGTAGGAATAACCGTTACGCGCGAGGCGCGAGACGGATTTATTGTTCTAAACCCTTGCATAGCACTCGGCTAATTAAAGACTCCCTCCCTCGATCATTCCTTTGTTGCTATTCAAAGCAACCGTTCTCTAAAGAACCCTCCTTTTCCGGAAGATCAATCTCAACAGATTTTATGATAATGTCTGGAGGAATGGAATGACACGTTTTTCTTTCTTTTTCAGCGACTTGCGGCATCCAAATATCCTCCTTCTTATGGCCGTGTATGATAGTACGGATCCTTTAAAGCGGGGAGTTGTGCTAGAGCCCGTAGAACGTTGCTTCTTAAGAACGCTCCTTCTTGAGAACAAGACTGTCTTTGATGAGGACACTGTTCTGCGTTTCAGCCGAGACGTAGCATGCGCAATGCAGTTTGTTCATCAGCGAGGTTACATTCACTGTTATCTGGGATCACCTAGTGTGGTATTGACTGAGGACTTTACGGCAAAGGTTCGTTTCTTAGTTGCTCATTTATTGCGGCTTACGCTTTCCACGCTACAAATAATTTCGGACTGCATTTGTGGCCCTCAGAGTTCAATTCCGTCTTACAAAACTCGGCAAAAAGTTGGCTCGGGTCACCCTCTTTTTTTTTTCGATGGTGGGGTCACTTTACTAGCCGGGCCAACTCTTCAACATGTAAGGTCTATAAGCAATTTGGTTCTTCCAGCCGGGTCAACTCGATCAAGGCGAGACAATAGGGAACTTAAGAAACGACGACGACGACGGCAACAAGAACAACAAAAAAGCAATATGATGCACTCTACACGTGCGTCACGCTTTTTTGTACCTTTCTTTGCCGTCGTTGCACGACTACGACGTGAAACTGCCTGATTTCACGTTTTATAGAGGACGTGAACACAAGACAACGACTTTCTTTTTCTTTTTCTGAACGTTGATACAGTCCTTTAGAATTCAACTCCAGAAAAATTCGCTTACATTCGATGAATTGAACGAGACGGAATAAGCGCGATAAAGTTTGAAGCAGCACGAATTCACTTTTTAAGTGACGTTTTTGTGGCCATCGTAGTCGTTGTTGCTTAAGATCCCTAATGGCTCGGGAAAGGGGTCACATAAACGCTCCCTTAAGATGACTGGGCTGAGAGGGTGATTCTCTCTCTCGGAACAAGTTTTCTCAAAATAAACGGGGCCTAAGCTTTCTTTCTTTCCTCGCCGTGTATTAACTACATGCACGTATGAAGGCGATTCTTTGAGTCTTAAAACTGTTTCTCTAGAAGGTTCTTACTTTTAAATAACACATCAATAACCATGGCTGCAACTTGAATCTCGCCAGATTTGCAACTTTGAATTTGCACAACAAGTAAATGGCGACTGCACTTGCAATTCCATCAGCCATCACGAAACGCTGTATGGCTGGATGGCGCCTGAACAACTCATTGGTAAGCCCGCTGACCAGGCTGGTGATGTGTTCAGCTTCGGGGTTCTCGTCTGGGAATGCATCACAAGAAAGCATCCTCTTAATTATGTCAAAAGTGTAAAACAACTAACAAAGGGAAAAGTTGACCCTCGCTTACAGAAGATCCCTGGCAACTGGAGCCAAACTTTCAAGGTCTTGATTGGCGACTGTCTGAAACCTTCCTCCAAAAGGCCAAATTTCCAGCAGGTAAAGTTCAACTAAAAGCAATGTAAAAGACACAAAGGGCAGTTTCACTCTAGGAGCCAGGAACAACTCTTCACTCGTTTCTATTGCTACTAGCCTCCAGGGGAGCAGCAAGCTAACCTTTGGGTCTCCTGTGGTTCCTTTGGCCGGGAAGTGTCCTGTCGTTATTTAGATGTTACATTATGGATTTACATTTTATAGGATGATTTTTAGTAGGTGTGTCCAGCGGTATCTTTATAACTCAGTTTTAAATCGTAACGCTCTTCTTGCGTCATTCTAATTCCTTTAAGTTTTTACATGGTGGCGCGCGCAAACAGTGTTAAATTATTTTCGTATGACTGTCACTGACTTGCCAATAAAACAAAAATCATGAAGTATTTGTATTTAAATTGAAGGACTCCCTTATAGTCCTTTATACCCACAACTATGAATTGAACCAATAAAAGGGTATGTGATAAGCAAAATGTGTTCGTCAGTTCATCGCTTCTCAGCTGATGCTTTACTACTCAGCATCTGCTCGCAGCATAAAACGTACAATTTGTATCCTTGTGTTCGATATTGGGTCTAATTATGTAAAACATAACGATAATCTACCTATATAGGTCTAAAAACTGTTCAATCTCTTTTCACAAGCAAATTGTTCAAACCACCTTCCTCGTGTCGACTTCAGGCGCTAGGTCAAAAAGAAAAGAGACCTTGTTTTTTAAAAGAAAGCAAAACAATCTTGGTACTTTCTTTCTTTTGTTCTAGATTTATGGATGGTTATCTGCCATAGTGACGTCACAGTACGTATGTTTACGTCCAAAAAGTTTCATCGTTGAAGAAGGCAGCAACTTATTTTCGTCCAGAACTGTAAAATCAGCGCGCACAACTCAACAGTGAAATAAGGGAAACCAGCTTCGTTTCATCGTGACATCTATAAGTATTTTGAGAACAATGACCCCAACGCTTCAGTCTTTCTCTATTCATTTTTCTTTGATAGTTTGGATATTTTTGCAATTTAACACGAATCGCTTCATTTCAAAGAAAAGATAGATGATGAAATATGACTTGTCTCGAATTTTTTTCAATGACCTTTATTTGTATTTACGTATTTACCTAGTAGAAGAACCTGAAAGTTTTCTTCTTTAATTATGACGATTGAAATTCATTGACTAGGGGAACGAAACTTGAAATTTTATTCAGTCAGGAGCCTTAGTATATGTACATGTGTTGCCAGATCTTAGCTTAATATATATCTAATTGTATACGTTATCCTGTCAAAAATACTCATGCACTTGTGTCAAAAACTCCCTGATTTTTCCTTAACTACAGTTTTCTTTTACGCGTGGAGACATAATGCAACCTTGAATCGAAATTTATTTGTTTTGTTTGCATTCTTTTGAAACTTAACAGCAGATAAAATAGAATACCTTTTCTTGTTTATTTTCCCCCTTTTACAATTTAAGTTACATTATGTTTTTACTCTAGGACTAGTCACGTGACGGTTAACGAGGTCGGTGGTTTGTTGCGTACTGTAGCAATCAGAGCACCAGGTCTCCTCTTCTTTTGTGACCCGCCGCTGGCTGTAAGGTGCATTCGTCGCTCAGTTTGCATCTTCGCATTATAGTAAGGCACAGAGTCGGGATGCTCCATTAAAAGCTCGAGTTGAAGCCGATCGAATTTTTCTTGCTCATCTTCCGGAATTCGACCGTCTCGGCCAGACTTCGACTCATCGTCCGCTCCAAGGAAAGACTGGGAATACCAGTTATCGAACTCAGTGACCAGTCGATGCCTGCACTGATTCACCAGCTTTTCACAGTACGTCACTTCAGACTTTGTGTTCAGCAGGTCTTCGTAATCGCGTCTATAGCGCGACTTGAGATCCTTGACTTTCCGAACGAGTTCGTATTCATCTTCGTCGATCACGACTTGTCCTTCATCCGTTCGGAATTCTCCTTGTTCGAGTCGTTCTTGTCTCCTCGTCTCAAGTAAGACTCCATTGTCATTAATCTCTTTCATCAAATTATTGACGGACTCAGATAGTTCCTTCGCTTTCCTCATCTTTTCCCGCAGAATTTCTGAAAAGAGAGAGATTTAAGAGGGTTTAAACAACTACAAACACTCACCAATCGAATTTGTTTGAATGACGGGTTGGCGCACGCGTCTTTAAAAAACAGAAGCTAAAAAGGACACTTAAAACAAGTGACCCTTTCAAACCAACGCACAACCTGGCCAGGGACTTACGCACACGCAAAAGTAGAAACATGAAAACTGTCTGACGGAGTCAACACTGGTCTTCTTAATTCGCATCGACTTTGTGTAATCGTAGGGGAGAAAGCGCAAGGGTAGGGTGATGGTCGGATCAATGCTTAAAGAAATTCTTTTCCAGGTGCTCCGTTTTTCCCACTTTTCTTCAAAACCAACTCGTTCAAATTTCAGTTCGACCTGGAATGAAGCATAGACTCCCCTACAGTTTCTAAGTGTTTCACAGCTAAAGGTGATGTTACATGAGACGATTCGCAATGACGATTTTCAGCGCAACACAGTGTTGTAACATTATTGCGACATTGTTTCGAACGGTTACAACATTGGAGCGCTGTGTTCACCTTAAAAAAAAAAACTGCACATAGATATTACATAGCCGCGCGGAGATAAGACATTTTTCTTCGTGAGCGGGCGTAGGGGACGAGTGAATATTTTTAAACACGAGAAGAGAATTTCGTATCTCCTAGTGACCACGTAATTTTGTACAGTGGAAGCTCTGATAACGGACAATCTCGTACGTGGAAAGCTCTACTAACAGCCGCCTTCATAAAAACCCGTTTTTCTAAACTCCCATACAACTCTATTTTTACATTTCCATAAGCGGCCAAGGGTGTCCGCTCAAGAGAGCTTGGACTGTATTTATTAAATTAACACCAATGAAATACCAAACCATTTCACTTTAATAAATTTTTTGCTGCGAGAGGCGCGATTTAGCGTATAACCATAGCAACGGTAATCTTTTCATGTCTGAGGATATGTTATTTTCAAGGGTCAAGATGTTTTCGCTCAAAAGGTCACCTGGTATTCCATTGGTGTTATATAAAAATCATTCTTCCGAGTCTCTTAATGGCTTAAGCAGTCCTGAAGTAATTGTAGTGGACTGTATATTGAGAAAACTTTACCTTTATTCTGGTTAAGAATACGGTTAATCTCGCTCCCTCTCTCTTGTTTAAATTCCTCAAAGGCTTGACTCTTGGGAGGAGGCGTGGCCGCGCGCTGAGTAGCTGACTGGGCCGAGGGTGACTGAAGCCGATCCTGTCCCTCACCACTTCCTTGTCCATCACTCTGCCCCGCACCACCAGTGACAGGAGACTTTGCACTATCCCTTTCTTTTCCTTTGTTGCGGCTTTTCACCTTTCTGGTACTCACTAGGGTGGAGACATTAGGTTTGACCCCTGGTGGAGCAACTCCAACGCCGAATCCTTGCCCGTCCACTTCCCCAACCAAACCACTGTCATCACCGGGGACAGTTCCTAGCTTACCCCCGGTAGCTACAAAAGAAAAAGACTGTGATTAGATGAAAGAAAGAAATTCGTTTCACTTTGCAAACATAGACTATTTTATGTGGATCTGGACTGGATTAAGTCTCTTGTCAGAGTCATAAATGTGACACACAAAACTTGTCACCATCCGTTTAAAAGGGGCTTTGTCACGTCTCTCCAGTTCACTGTTACAGTTCACTGCGCGTCATTACTTTCAATGGAACTTAACCCTTTAAGCTTCAAGATCCACATACAAATTCTCCAGACTGATCTCCATACATTTCTTTTACGAATAGTTGGGAGAATTTGCTTTAAGATCAAAGCATTCTCCCTTTGGTAATCAATTTAGTAATTCTCATAACCTTTACTTTTAATGATCTACTGATGTTGTTAGGAGAAAATTGATGTTGATCACTCTTGGGACTTAAAGGGTTAACTTAATCCAAGAAATTACTTCCAAGTGACTAATTCACAGCTTCGCGTTAAACAAACATGTCTCCCAAGCATCATATCAAACGTTACAAACAACAAAAATCAAATGTCAAGCCAAAAAAGTTTTCAAAAAACTATAATTGCAATCCGTTTTACCTTCTTCAAGTTCGTTCAACCGTGCCTTCTTTTGTTTTCGCTGGTTCAGTAAAACCTTGTTTTGAGCGGTCTGCTTTCACTCAATTTGATGGCAGTTTGTACTGATGAGTTTTGATAAATTTCGTGACACAGCTGTTAGGTCTTTTCACAGACCGTAGTAACAGTTTTTCTTACCCTTTCATATACTCAAAGTGAAATCCCTATACCTTTATATATACCTCAAGCCTGAAAAAGGTACTCTTTTCGGACGGAGACTCGCCCCCCCCCCCCCCCCCCCCCCCCCCAAGGAAGGGGGGGGCCCCCCCGCGCGGGGGCGCAGAGGAGAAAGGGGGGGGGGGGAGAAGAAGAGGGGGGGGGGGGGATTTGAAGAAGGAAAGGAGGGGGGAAAAAAAAAAAAAAAAAAAAAAAAAAAAAAAAAAAAAAAGAAAAAAAAAAAAAAAAAAATAATTTCCAAACGATTGGTATCTATGTTTTTTTGCCCGAAGGGTTAATTTCAAAAAAAAAAAATAATAATAAAAAAAAAAATTAAAATTTGAAAAAATCCAAAACTGGGGCTTTTAAATGAACAAAAAGGATTTTAAAAAAAAAAAATTTAAAGGATTAAAAAAAAAAAATCTATAATAAAAAGGCCTTTTAAAAAAATTTGGGCGAACATTTACATTTTTTTTTTTTCGTTTGTAAAGTTTGTTGTAATGCTAGGGAGGTATATTTGTAGGACAAGAAGCTGTGATTTTGTCGTTTACAAGCAATTTCTTCGTTAAAATTAAGTTCCATAGCGCATACGCAAGCGGTGCAAGCGGTCATTTAATTCCGCGCTGTTTTTATTTTTATCACGCGCGCTCGACGGACTTTTAAGAGAAAATAGAGGGTCTGTGAACAGGCTAGCCGTGACACCACCCCTTTAAAAAGTTTCACCTTCAGCAAAGGAAAAAAAGAGGGACGGATCCATCCAGATTCGTTTTTGAAACTTTAAAGTGCACTAAAATAAGGGAATCTGTTGCTTACCAGAAGCTACACCATCTCTTTCCTGAAGCACATACTTCTGTCGCAGCCTCTCTTCCACGTCCGACTCCATGCTATTCACAATCACTCGGAACTGAGCGAACGTCTCCTTTATCTGCCGAACATTAACGAGCTCAATGTCGTTTAGCTCCCCGGCTAGAAATCGTTTCACTTGTTCACGGACATCTTGAATTTGTGACTCGGATAGCGGCTCGTAAGAGATTTGGCTACGGTTCGTGAGGGTGTCGTGCATGGCGAGTTCCTGGCGAAGAGTACGGATTTCTTTCTCGTGTTGTTTGCAAAGTCGCAGCGTATCGAAGTGCTCTGTTATGGCCGGTTCTGATGGTACGTTCATCATACGGTTACCGAAACGCAAGGTCGAGAGCTTTGAGAAGAACAACACAGAAAAGATGTCAATATTAGTCCGCATTGTAAAAAAGTGCCGGTATTGTAAGTTTTAGAGCAAGTTAACTCATCGTTAACTCCTTTTCAACAGCTGACAGTTATCAACGCCTATGATATTCAAATTGAAAGCTGGCTCGCAGGTTGCTAAGACGTCGGTAGTTGTTTTAATACCCAGCTTCAAAAACTTGCAATATCATTGCCGCAAGAAAATGTTAAGTTAGGAAATTAATGTGTGAATGCAGGGAGGCCAAATTGGCAAACCACTAAAAGGGTATCTGAAGTCTAGCAGATCTGTCGCCCTTAAGGAGGCGACAGCCATTCTACGAGAGCGCCGGTGCACTCCTAGAAGTCAGACGTTACTTCAATCTCTTACCCAAACCTTTTAAGCAAAAGAAGGTCTCAGAGGGCAAATTTTTAGCCCCCATCCCCCAAAAAAGTCTTCGCAACTCCCAATCACTGCAATACTAGGTACAGTAATTTAAATTTCAAATTATATAAAGAAAAAGTGATATTTTCTAGAGAGATGGTAGCAAACAAAGGTCAAAATCAAACTGAAATTGTGATAGAATTCTCACGCAATATATTTAATAAAATTACCGTTTCCTCTATATGTACAGCCTCGCCCCAGATATTAGCTATCAACAGAGTGTTGCATCTTCCTCCAATGGAATCCTTTAATACGTGCGTAAGCTTGCTTTGCCTGAAAGGGACATGCTCTCGCCTCCTGTCACCTAACGCTATCACCGCCTGCTCCAGAAATGTGAGAGACTTGTTGATGTACATGGCCTCTACTTGGGTTTCTCCCACAGAGAGCGTTTTACTTAGCCTTTCTGATCCGGCCAGGTCCACGAAGTTGAGTTTGGATGTGACATACTTCGTGTTGGATTCCACACGGGAATGTGACTCGATGTAGATAGTGAAGACACAGTGTGAACGAGAAGAACGCTTGTTAAGAGCATGTTGAGCGATGATCCGATTTGTCTCTCCCTAAAATAGTTTGAAGGCCTATTAGCTTCATTTCTGCAGACATTAATCCTCATTAGGGAAGGGACAGGGGTACATGCTAAGCCCCTATGGTACCTGCTTGGGTTATTGTAGCCTGCGAAAACATCCGTTTCTCCACATCTTTTCGCCGCTAGTGGACGTTTCGCGACGAGAGGAACAGAAATTTCATACTGATGACGTGAAATCTGTCCGGAATCCGGTCATAAACGCTGATTGGACGACGGACTAGTCACATTGTTTTAGCTACTGTTTACGAATGACAGACAAAAGACAAAAGGCTACAAAGGTCAAATGTAAACGCGATGAGTCTATAACAAAACAGTCAATTTTTGTGGAATATCCGGAAGTTTCTCCTCGTGAAACGTCCACAAGCGGCAAGGAGCGAGGATAAACGGCTGTTTTCGCAGGCTAGGCTTATTCCTGACTACAACTCCCGGGGGGGGGACTTCCTAATAATAGGCTAATGGGGATGAGCTGCTGGATGGGGTCGCATTTTTTACGACTGGATTGACAAAAGAGGGGTTGCATTTTCAATAGTTACTAGAATGGGGTCACACATTTTTGGGATTTTGGGGGTAAGACTATTCCGGTAATAAGGGATTTCAAACCGTGAGGATTTTTGCTACTTTAAGGGTAACAAATGTGTCAATTCATTTCAAGATGACCTAGTTAAAAGGCTTTATAGGGTAGATGCATAAACAGAAAGTGACTAATGCGGGGTCTATAATTGGCCATAGAGACTAGCGGCACATACCCAGCAAAAACTTACTCAAGTACCCGCCCCCCGCGAAACAAATACAGGCTGTATGTGGTCAACAATGACAATGTGTACTGCATTTCCTTGAGTAATAACCTCCAATACCAGTAAGCTCAATGAACTACCTCTCCTGAATAAGGGCTAACAGAACCCACACAGATAAAGAGTAGTATCTTACAGATAATAACAAAAGGGAATGAATCGTTGTGTAAAATAAGTGCTGGGTGGATGGAGTAATGTTAACAAATTCTTCCTGTATGGTAATTAAACCATATAAGTCCTACAGAAAGGGATGTTGTATTTGAGAAGTTCAATGAGTACTGTGTAGGAAAATTGGACAATTCTGGCCAGTGTTATTTACTGGAAAACTTACTGATAGTGCAACAGTTTAGTTTCAGGAAATCTAAGATAAAGGTTATTAATTTTAAGGCCTCTTCACATAAGCCCGGTTGTTATCAAATGGGATGCTTATGACGTGGAAAATACAGCAGGCAAAGAAAGATGATGCAGCATTCATTCAAAGAATTTCATCCCAGTAACCAGGCTGAAACGTTGAGGAAAAATTTCCCAGCCCGCTTACCAGGATCCCAGTTGGAAAAACCAAGATCTCAGGAACCAGGCCAGCCTGCCCTCTCATATGAACACATTGAAAATTTTACAAAGGATTCAGAGGTAAGGAATCTCGGAAACCAGGCCAGCTCAGTCAACTGGACTCATATGAAGAGGAGGCCCTTAGTCTGGAATAGGGTAAAAAGTTTCATTACAGTAAGGGAGGGAAGGGGGTGGGAGGGCTACAGGAGGGGAGAGAGGAAAGTGCAAGAGGTGGGAGATCTAAAGGGATGGGAAATGGGAGAAAAGGGGGAAGTAATACAACAACACTTTTATCTGTAATAAAAAGAAAGAAGACAAGTAAAATGGGGCAGGGATGCAAGTTACGGGAGGCAGGAAGTTTGGATCCCCCTGTCCCTCCTCCCATTTACAGCAAACAAACTGACTACATTGCAGTTAACTTGAACATTATTGCACACATTCCACACTGCCTAACCCTGCTATTTAACAGCTTCAAGTGGGGGACCCTTACCTCAAGGGTGTATGCCAGATTCTTTTACTTTAGAAAGGGGACAGTGGAGGTAGCCTGCATCACAGACATAATCTACAATCCCGGACAAAACTACTTGAGAAAGTTTTCCCCATCATGTCCACTTTCCTACGCAACAAAACTATTTCCAAAACCACACCTTTGCGGAAAAAAACCCCTTCCCCCAATTCAATGTTGCTTCCCACAAATGCCCAAGGATCAGGCTTTCTTTTGAATACACAACAACATTGCTTTCAGGGGAGGGGGGAGAGGGAAGAACCGGTAAAGCTACGATGTTTAGAAAAATGCTGTCCAAGTATACAATTTTCTCAACAGTTTTTTCCAAGATTGTAGCTCCAGTAAGCAACATCTGCAAGGCAGCGCCTATATCCTTAATCTGGCTTCCCAACAGACTCAATAAATTACCGGAAATGGTTTCAAATTTCCCTTCAAACTGAATGGTAAATTGACAATGGTTTTTTTCACAGGCCAATCCTGGCATGTACTTAAATACTGGTGCAGAAGTGGGGACTGTGAACGAGGATTTTGGCGCTGTTTCACAGATGCACTTAACAAGAACTTTACAGTGTAGTTCCACCTATGGCACAGGCTACAAAGGTAGGAGATAGGGACGGATAGTATGCAGCTCTCTAGAACCTCTAATTTCATTGAATAATCTATAGCGTGCAGCTCTATTGTGTTAGGGCTAGGCTAGGGTCCATTGTTACTGTTGTTTGTTTATTGTTTTCTCAGCCAATCCTGTGAGGTCTTGTAAGATCTGGGTAGCAGGTCTGCATTCAATGACCAGGGAGCCAATTGATAAAAAAATGTTGCTTTCTTTAATGTCTGTTACTGGGGTTAATTTTTCATGGGTCTTGTTTATCTAGCATCTATCTTAAGAGTTTTTTTCGGTGATGGTTTTGCCTCAAATGATCATCTTAATCATGAGTGACTCTCCCTTCGCTAATCTGGACTTTCTTAATTGACAATATACAGTGACCTGTCTAAAAGAGTTCAACCATTTTTTGGTTCCTCCTGTAGGCACCGAGGCACAGATTACGTACAACAAAATAAACAATACTACAATACAACAATACAACAAAATAAACAATACTACCAACCGGGAGGCCCAGGAGAACTCTATTTGTTTGGTTGCATTGTTTCTTTTCTGATGAAAATTCTTACAGAAAGACCCCATTTTTCAGGTGATAATTTTAAACTCTTTGAAAACTAGGAATGAGGTTTACTGATCTTATGCTTGAGTATACTTTTGTTTTATGGATGGTGTAAAGTCACGTGCTTCTTCCTCGTAGAAGTTAGTAGTAGTAGTAGTAGTTAGAGACCCTTAGGAGTTAGGTACTAGTTAGAGTCCCTTACCTCAAAAAGCAGATTAAGCGCCTCTTCTTCGCTACTCGCGTTACGAACACTGAGTCCTTTCACCCTGGTATATCCATCATCATCGTCAGTCACCGTCATGAGAGATGGGTCTGTTGTGATAGCACCCGGCAAAGTACATAACAAATCGAACATTCGCTCGTTGTAGATCTCTAAGTACGAGATACGAACACTCACGGAATACTCGGGCCTTTCACGGATCTCCCTATGAACCTGTTGAATTGCCCGTGGGATGATCCCGCGGTGCTGAAACTTTTCGGTGGATCCGGTCATGGTGAATGTCTTCCCTGATCCAGTTTGTCCGTAAGCCAAGATTGTGCCGTTGTAACCGTCCAAGGCTTGCGTCACTATATCTTTAGCGCATTCCTCGTAAACATCGCTCTGACTGGCGTTGTGCAAGACGCGATCCAGGTGAAAATTCCAGTCTAATATCTGGTTGTTGATGTAGCCTCTTCTGAGATCCTTCTTGCAGTGAATGTTCACGGACTTTCCATCCGGCAGGAGTTCGATCATGTCCTGCGCAAATCTCGCCGTTGGCCGAATTCTGGCGTACACTTTGACTCTTCCATTATCTTCTTGAAGCATGGTGCTTCTTGATAGCTTTACCACGACACGAAACCACAAGTATTCACCAAACAAACTCTCTATCTGATCTGCCTTGCTGTGGTTTGCCTTCTTAGCGCCACCTTGTTGTTACGGTAATCGACTCTTGTTGCTATGTGACTGACGCGCATCTTCTTCCGCAAAGAGTGCTGATATTTTGTTCGCAGGCTCAGTGAAAACAAGATGGCGGACGAAGGTGGGGAGAATCTAAAACACGGATTACAGTTATTACAGAAATGCTCGAAACAGGACGCCGAGAAGGTCAGGAAATTAAAAAGAAATAATACAAGGTTATATAGGGCTTCGTTAATACCATGGAAATTATTAGGTTGAATTTGATTGGTCTAGATGATGACTGGCAAATTTTTGTTTAATCTTTTTGATATGGTTGCGGAAGACGTCGATCATAACCTTTTCGAGACACTCCTTTTTTATCCGCACCCCTCGTATGGAAGGCAGAATTTAATAATTTCTAGAAGGACTCTGTCGGAATGTTACATTTTTACTACAATAAAGGGTTTCGGAATTGTCCTTTTACCCACAATGAGTCATCGGGACTTTTTACTGCAAGGCCTGTTGGAATCGCTGATCTAGATTAAGATCTGTCGGAATCCTGCCCTTCATAAGGTGAGGCGAGATAAGAGACTTGTAGGAATCACAATTTAACAGATAAGGGCCCGTTAGCCTGCGTAGCAAGCGTTTTCGCGCGAGTTTGTCGAGTAGGTTGGGACGAGAGCAAAAAAAAAGGAATGACGGGGAAGGGGGAGGGGAACGAAGGAAACGCTTGCCCGCAAACCCCACGATTTTGAAAAACTGCGTTCGCCCACAAACGCAGCTTCTGATTGGTGCGGTGCTGGTAGTGTTGATTACTTAGCACTCAAAACATCAACATACCTGCCAACTCTCCCGGTTTTCCCGGGAGTCTCCAAGTTTTTCATCAGATCTCCCGGTTAGAGCACCAAATGTCCCGGATAGAATGGACCTTTTGAGCATTTCTGTGCTTTAGTTTGAAATTTAGTCAATTTTTTCACAAAATTCGAACTTTTTTATTCATTGTACAATTTTTGGGACATTTTTGCACATGTTTAGTAAATGACAAAGATTAGTTCGTCATTACAATGATGAAAGCGCATTTTGATCCCATGTACGTCATGTAAGACGTCATATAATGTCCTAAGGCAATTTGTTGGTGTGGGGGGGGGAGTAGGGGTGTTGGTGCTGTTGCCATTCGGGGGTGGCGGGGGCGGGGGTGTAGTGTAAAATAGAGAGTCTCCAGATTTTAGATCTCCGGAGGTTGGCAGGTATGCATCAATCAAACTAGGTATGCTTTGTTTACGTGCGTCACAGGTCTGGTCTGATTTGTGGTTGCAGATTACAATTGGTTTAGACTTAAATCTATTTTAATCATGTTTGTGCAAAGGTTTATGGGATCAGAGTCTTCAAAGTATAACTGGAGATCGAGCAGTGGAGACTAGGGAAGGCCAGTTTATTGGGAATGACAGCGTGCGGATCTGACTAAAAAAAATTGGACTGTTTGTTGGCAATAACATCAACGTAAATCAGAACATTGGTACTCGACACTAGCTAAAGCCACCATGGACAAGCGACTTGTCAGCTTGTTGAAATGAAAAGATTCTCTTTGTTTATTGGAAATTTAGCGGCATGTATTGTAGAGAACGTTTCGACACGGGCTGAAGAGCAGTCGCTCTACAAAACGTATAGCCGGCCGAGTGAATTGTCCCGGACAAATCATTTTTGAGGTTTCGACAAGGTTTCAGATGAGATAAAGCCACACAATAAAAAACAAGAAATTCCACAGCAATCGTTCAGGGTTTTAACCTTCCTTTATCGTAAACCTTTTTCTATTACAGTTTTTGCAATCGTTTGGAACGTGTTCTATTAGAGAACAAAGTAATTTTACAAATCTGGTAATCCAGGGGAAATCTGTTTGTTATACTTCTATTTTTATGAGCTGTCAGTTTACAAAAGAACTGAACCGTGAAATATCAAGGGGCATTTTCCAGAATCATGGGGTTTGTGGGCAAGCGTTTCCTCTTCTCCCCTCCCGCTCCCCCTTCCACCTTTTTTTGCTCTCGCTCTAACTTTCGCGCAATAACTCAATTGGAAATGCCTGCTATGCAGGCTAAGGGCCTGTCGGAATCATGCCCTCCATAGAGGGGGAGGGTGGGGGGGTACCGATAAGACATAGCAAAACATATATTCGAATGCTTTGAAAAAAGGAAAGGGGAAGACGGCAAAAAGTAAATACCCAAGGACTTAATTAATTAATAACTTATCAGCCATATATGGTTAGGAAGTTTTTGTTGTTTGTAAGTTTAGTTATTTGGAAATAGTTGATATACTATTTATTGTATAAGACTCCAAATAAATAAAATGTGTATGTATGTACGTATGTAGGTATGTACGTATGTATGTATGTATGTAAGTTGTTGTAAGTAGCTGTTTTATTCCAATTTTGGTAATCAGCCTTGACGGTCACTGCAACTAGATCCATATAACATTATGCAGCAGGTGCTCTCATAATTTATAATTAGCTGAAGCCTATACCATTTTTATTTTTACAATTTTGAAAAAATAAAGAGCCTGCTTCTACCCTTCCACATTTACCATTAAGACTTTGTATCAAAACGATGGGTTACCCTCCAATTGCAAAGGGTAACCAGTCGTTTCTATACAAACTCAAGCACTGAAATTGCAGAAAAATTTTGATCACTTTAAGTACAGTTTGAGTGTAAACAGGAAAAACATTTTGGGTGAACATTCTTTGTTCCTTTAAGGTGGCTCGATACAGTTTTTCAGGGTCAATACCTCCCAAGTTTGAGCATAAACTACGTCGCCATAAACATAAGGATTTTTGTGGGAAAATTTGTTAACCAAGGTAATTTAGCTTAAGATGATTTATTTCAATTTTAACACAAGTCTGTCACTGTCTTTAACCCTTGTTCAGGTAACTCATGAACTGTTAGACTGCATATGCAGTGGGAAGAACCTGAGATATCAGAGCTATGGGAAGCTTTGGACCATTCAGGAGTGGAAAGTGTTGCAAGAAAATGGGAAGGAAGAACTGAAGGGATTCATTACCAGAGGTCTCAACAAAGAACAGGTTTTTATAATTATGTACCATTTTCTAATATCTATACATGTATTCTATTAATTAGCCCAGGCCAGGCTCTCTGATAATAGGATGTTGCAAAAACAAAAATATCTCTGCACATTACTATCTTGGAAGCTGGAATAGGATATCTTTTCATCATCATCATCATAGTAATAATAATAAATAATAATATTGATAATAATTTTATTATTATTGATTATTTTAATACTGTGTACAGTAATTTGGATTTTGTAAGCTCCAACAAACATCCATAACAACTCCAAGGATGGCTCAAACCATAAACCCTCTGTGAGGGGAGTATGTTTTTTTTCACAGTGTTCACAAATAGGTACTGAACTGTATATTTACAGATGATTTGAGTTCTTGTCAGGTTTTTTTAAGCAGAACCCTTTCCACATGTATCCTCTAAAGGAAATGCTTCTAATAAACAGTGAATGAACTTTTCATCAGATCTCCAATGAACTTGACAGATATTCTCTTTCTGGAGAAGTTAAACAAGCTGTGCTAGATTGCCTGTGGCCTCGACAAGAAGAAGTGAGACAAAGCTTGGTACAAAATACAGCTATGATATCGAACGCTGTTTTGAAAGACTTTGATTGGAAAGTAAAGGTACGTATTGCTTGTTATTTTTAAACAAAAAACTGGCACGGTGAGTATTAAAAGGTCATGAAGATTATGCTTTTCTCTCCCAGATGGGCACTCCTCAGAATTCTTGGTGGGGGTGTGCCAGACCAACACGATGCAAAAACCATACCAGTCCCTTTAGGGTAGCGCATACCCTATATGGCTTATATAAGGGAGTACCCCCCCCCCCCCCCCCCGGGCCTTTTCCCCCTACAATTTCCTTTTTGTTTACTTTTTTTTTTTTGGGTTTTTTTCGTTTTTTTTTAAATTTTTTTTTTTAATTTTTTTTTTATTTTATTTTTTTTTTAAATTAATTTTTTTTTTTTTTTTTTTTTTCTTTTATAACATTATCTCCTGTTATGTTTTACCCAATACTCCA